TGGTAAGAATTTCATCTCAAAGCGTTCTGTTGATTTTGACGTAGATAGCCGATTAATCGTAAACAGAACGTAGAATAGTACCTTGTCTCACGGACAGCAACTTTTTTAATTGCCTTTTTCGATGGTACCAGGTCTTAATAATTAAAACGGAGTAATTTTGTCTGTATGGCCGGACGAACGGTCTTTTCTTTTCGGTTTAAAACTGCCAAGGAATCTTTAACGTGCGGAATATTCACACGCGTACGAGACCTCCCAAATTTTATTCGTCTTCATCCGAGAGGACCATGTGGTCTATCCTATCTACTACGTTACAGTCGGGGTCTGTAGAATGACATGAGAGATTGAACTCATCTGGACCTCTGGGTTGACAAGCAAGCACCATAAGTTGCATGGGCAAATGAATTTTCCGAAAGTAATTTTTTTTCAAATTGAATATATTTTTACTACAAGATAAAGATTAAAAAACATTCGCCATCAGAACTTGCGTTCAACGGTACCGGTGCGTGAGGTTTATCGAAAGACCAGATTATTACTTTAATTGAGCTTCCACTTCACGGTCCAGCCCTAAAGTTTTCCTTCGTCCTCCTCACAATAAGCAGAGCCATGACACTACGTTAGAACATCTTAGTCTGTCATAAGAAAATCAATATATTGGCATTCATAAGCTTTGGGTGTCAAACCTGGCCAATGAACAGAAACGTCATAAAGAAATTATGGACAACATAATAATAGGCCTATGGAGAACAAGGGAAAGGAAAATATGCTACGTATAAACGAATGCAAGATCAAATAAAGCATGGATCTACAAAAATACAGAAGACAGTGGTGGCAGAAATCACAAATATTTAGGCTATGCACCAACTCCGACAAAACTTGAAGTGCACAGGTCACATCGGTAGAGTGAAAGACAACGGACTGACAAAAAAAAAAAGCACTGCAGGGAGAAAAAGAACGGTAAAAAGATCAAGAAGAAGACTAGATTAGAAAGGTGACACATTGGCAACAAGGAGTGGATGGGTACAATCTGGACACGGAGAACAGTATTTTTTTAAAGTGGAGATTGTTGTTGGATGACCCTGCATTGATACAGACAACGCCCAGAAAGAAAGAAAATAAATTACGTTGGCCTGTATATACATATAGTCCGACAACAGCTGCTATTTGATTTTATTTGCCACAAATACAACGAGATTCAACCGATCCCTCGAGCCTCTTCCT